TAAAGGATGATAACGATAGAAGATGATTCAGATAAGGATGCTTTCCAAATGAGATCCCGAATTTTGACCCGATTAAAAGATGATAAAAGATGACAAAAAAGATGATAAAGGATGATAAAAAGATGATATGAAGATGATAAGAAAAGCATATGAAGATGATTAAACATGATGGAAGATAATAAAAAGAGATAATATGAGAGATGATAAAATATGATAAATGATGATAAGAAGATGATAGGGTAAAGCAGCTGATTAATGTGTGGAAGCGGTTGAGAACGTGAGGGAGTGAAAAGTGAGCTGGGGGAGTAGGCATGGTGAGGGCGTTTGATGGTGGAGAGGGATGGGGGAGGGTTGGTGAAGAGAAAAACGTTTTTTTTGTTTAAACTCTTTTTGGATGGTGAGAGAAAGAGGGGTGGTGGTTGGGGGGGTGCCCAGCCCTGTGCCAGGGCCTTGGCCCCCTTGACCCTCCCTGGCCCACCCTCCACCCCGAGCTGGCTCTCCAGCCCCTCCACCCTTCGGCCAGCCCAGCTCCTTCAACCCCTCTCCGCTCTCCAGCGCCACCGGCCCCAGACCAGCCCACCCCAGCTCCAGCTCTTCAGCTCAGCCCTTGAAAGAGTGGGAAAGGGATGGCAGGGGAAGGGCGGGGGGGGTGGGGGCCCCTCCAGCCCACCCCAGAAGCCCAACACCCCCCCCTCCACGCGCGCCAAGCTGGCTCTCCACCCCCCCCACCCCCCCACCCCCCGACCCCCCCACCACTCTCCAGCGCCACCGCCCAGCTCCAGCCCTCACCCCCTCCGGCCCTGGCCCAGCCCCAGTTCGGGGGGGGGGGGGGTAGCTGCGGGGAGGGGGAGAGGGGTCTGGTGACTGGTCTGGAAAGGCCCCAGAATTAAATTTATTTAAGTTATTTAAATTATTTAAATTATTTAAATTATTTAAATTATTTAATAGGGTCAATTAAATAAAATAAATAATTTAAATAATCTTGCTTATTTAAATTATTTAAATTATTTAAATTATTTAATGGGAGGCAATTAAATAATTTAAATAATTTAAATAATTTTTGCTTATTTAAAATATTTTAATTATTTAAATTATTTAATAGGGGTCAATTAAATAATTTAAATAATTTAAATAAATTAAATAATTTAAATAAATTTAATTCAGGAAACTTTCCAGACCAGCCAGAAAAAAAATCAATTAAATAATTTAAATCCCGCAGTTTAATTAAATCATTTACTTGAGCTGTCGGATTTAAATTATTTAATTGCTTTGCTGGTTGGCCTGGAAAGTTCCCGGAATTAAATTTATTTAAATTATTTAAATTATTTAAATTATTTAAATTATTTAAATTATTTAAATTATTTAAATTATTTAATAGGGGTCAATTAAATAAATTAAATAATTTAAATAATTTTGCTTATTTAAATTATTTAAATTATTTAAATTGTTTAAATTATTTAAATTATTTAAATTATTTAATAGGGGTCAATTAAATGAAGTAAATAATTTAAAGAATTTTGCTTATTTAAATTATGTAAATTATTTAAATTATTTAATGGGAGGCAATTAAGTAAATTAAATAATTTAAATAATTTTGCTTATTTAAATTATTTTAATTATTTAAATTATTTAATGGGAGGCAATTAAATAAATTAAATAATTTAATTAATTTTGCTTATTTAAATTATTTTAATTATTTAAATTATTTAATGGGAGTCAATTAAATAATTTAAATAATTTAAATCATTTAAATAATTTTTGCTTATTTAAATTATTTTACTTATTTAAATTATTTAATAGGGATCAATTAAATAATTTAAATAATTTAAATAAATTAAATAATTTAAATACATTTAATTCAGGAAACTTTCCAGACCAGCCAGAAAAAAAACAATTAAATAATTTAAATCCCGCAGTTTAATTAAATTATTTAATTGAGCTGTCGGATTTAAATTATATAATTGTTTTGCTGGTTGGCCTGGAAAGTTCCCGGAATTAAATTTATTTAAATTATTTAAATTATTTAAATTATTTAAATTATTTAAATTATTTCAATTATTTAATAGGGGTCAATTAAATAAATTAAATAATTTAAATAATTTTGCTTATTTAAATTGTTTAAATTATTTAAATTATTTAATGGGAGGCAATTAAATAAATTAAATAATTTAAATAATTTTGCTTATTTAAATTGTTTTAATTATTTAAATTATTTAATGGGAGCCAATTAAATAATTTAAATAATTTAAATAATTTTTGCTTATTTAAATTATTTTAATTATTTAAATTATTTAATAGGGGGTCAATTAAATACTTTAAATAATTTAAATAAATTAAAAAATTTAAAAAAATTTAATTCAGGAAACTTTCCAGACCAGCCAGAAAAAAAAATCAATAAAATAGTTTAAATCCCGCAGTTTAATTAAATCATTTAATTGAGCTGTCGGATTTAAATTATTTAATTGTTTTGCTGGTTGGCCTGGAAAGTTCCCGGAATTAAATTTATTTAAATTATTTAAATTATTTAAATTATTTAAATTATCTAAATTATTTAATAGGGGTCAATTAAATAAATTAAGTAATTTAAATAATTTTGCTTATTTAAATTATTTAAATTATTTAAATTATTTAATGGGAGGCAGTTAAATAAATTAAATATTTTAAATAATTTTGCTTATTTAAATTATTTCAATTATTTAAATTATTTAATGGGAGTCAATTAAATAATTTAAATAATTTAAATAATTTTTGCTTATTTAAATTATTTTTATTATTTAAATTATTTACTAGGGGTCAATTAAATAATTTAAATAATTTAAATAAATTAAATAATTTGAATAAATTTAATTCAGGAAACTTTCCAGACCAGCCAGAAAAAAAAATCAATAAAATAATTTTAAATCCCGCAGTTTAATTAAATCATTTAATTGAGCTGTCGGATTTAAATTATTTAATTGTTTTGCTGGTTGGTCTGGAAAGTTCCCGGAATTAAATTTATTTAAATTATGTAAATTATTTAAATTATTTAAATTTATTTAATAGAGGTCAATTAAATAAATTAAGTAATTTAAATAATTTTGCTTATTTAAATTGTTTTAATTATTTAAATTGTTTAATTGGAGTCAATTAAATAATTTAAATAATTTTTGCTTATTTAAATTATTTTAATTATTTAATTTTTTTAATAGGGGTCAATTAAATACTTTAAATAATTTAAATAAATTAAATAATTTAAATAAATTTAATTCAGGAAACTTTCCAGACCAGCCAGAAATTATTTAAATTATTTAATTTCTTTAATAGGGGTCAATTAAATAAATTAAATAATTTAATTAATTTTGCTTATTTAAATTATTTAAATTATTTAAATTGTTTAATCGGGGTCAATTAAATAAATTAAATAATTTAAATAATTTTGCTTATTTAAATTATTTTAGTTATTTAAATTATTTAATGGGAGGCAATTAAATAAATTAAATAATTTAAATAATTTTGCTTATATAAATTATTTAAATTTTTTAAATTATTTAATGGGAGTCAATTAAATAATTTAAATAATTTAAATAATTTAACTTAATTTCACTTATTAAAACAAAGGAAGGAGCTAAATAGACCCGAAAGGTTGCTCTCTCATATATGTATATATTTTTTTTATTTATATAATAGATTTATATCTATATTTATATTAAAATATTATACTATATAATATCGTAGCAGTGCAATAGTTTTGTGTCATTGTTTATATGAGAATACCAATCTGTTCTTATGAAGTACGACACAACCATCGCCGCTTGTGGGCCTCGGTCAAAGTGGCGATGAGGGGGGTTTGTGGGTTGGGGTGTAGGGCCAGTGTAGGGTTTCAACATTTTCTCCATGTTTGTGGACAGGTTAGAGTCAGACATGTTTGGGTAGTCGGATTGGTTGAAGGTCCAGATTCCAACCGTAAACCCTAAACCCTGAACCCTAAGCCCTAATGTTGAGGATTAAGGTTTCGGTCTTCCGCAGTGGCGGTCCATGCCTGCTTGCGGACGTTGGCTTTGTGGGCGAGCGTGCTTCTGGGTCCTTGCTTAACATCACGTTGCGTTTGTAAAGAACATATATATATATATGTATATACATATACGGTTTAGGGTAGTTTAGGGTTTAGGGTTTAGGGTAACTAGGACCTGGAGTAGGCCCTTACTTCCTTTTTTGGGGGGTTGGCTTCTCAAAACCACAAAAGGCACCCTTTTTGTTCCTAGGTTGCTCTTGGGTTTAGTACTGCAGTACCGCCGACTGCAGTATATGCAAGTTCAGCGACCTGAAGCAACCGCGCTGTTTTTTAGCAGGTTTGCTGCTGTTGCTGCCTCTGTCAGCCCTTATCGGTATCCTGGACTTTGAACTGAGAACACCTTTTTGTTTTGCTGGGCTCGGCTTTCAGCTTTATACCGCCGCAAGCACAAGCAGCCACAGCCCTTTCAACGTCTCCCTAAACCCTAAGCCCGAGAACCCTAAACCGTGCCTCTGCAGCAGTGAAGGGATTCTCCAAGAGAATCACCGCAGCATCTACCCTGTGACTGCCACGACAGTAGCGGTAGATGCCCTGGGCCCAAATGCCACAAACGCCACGAACTCAGATGTCTATCTCATCCTGGCTTCTTGGGGATTCTTGGGAATATGTTGCTTTGTATTCTTGGGTGCTGTCATTCCTACGAAACAGCTAAAGTTATAATTTTTGCTAGGGCTCCAAGTTCAGTATAGGTTTTGGGGGACCAGAAGCATTTGGATGCCAAAGGAACCCTGCGAACCAACCGGGCTCTGCTGGAGTGCTTCAGCAGGAGGGGGGCGACACAGCTATTTGCACAGGTGGTATCCTTTTTGTTCGGTTCCCTCTTCGGGTACTCTTTGCACCAACGCTAAACCCTAAACCCTAAACCCTAAACCCTAAACCCTAAACCTTAAACCTTAACCCTAAACCAAAGGTTCCAACCTCCAAACAGGGCACCCCCCCTTATGCTGCCATGGATACTGGGGCCACCAAGGCTCCTCTTCCTAAACCCGGAGGTTTTTCCCGAGTGCAGAGGCTTCAAGGACTGGTTCTTCGGGCGCACCTGTACCTTGGTAGCCCAGTACTCTTTACCCTTTGTTTTTGGTTACTTGGAGGTTCATGGTACTTATTAGCAATCATAACTGTGCTTGTAACTGTACTTCTAACCATCTTGGGGCACTTAAGGGGCTTTTAAGTGGGTTATAAGTACAGTTCAATTTGGTTCATAAGTACCATGAACCTCCAAGTATGGGTTCCCTTCTAAAGTAACCAACCCAAAAAAAGAGTGCCCTTATCACAATATGGCTACTGGGCCACCAAGGCGCTGTAGCACGCCTGTCACAACTCCTCCTTCATCATTCTCAGGGCAACTGGACCATCCCAACAGTGCTTGAGGAGTTTGGCTTGTCCCAGGTCCCACACTGGGTCTTCCACCTCGATGGGGACACTATGCTCACACGCTTGGACCTTGAACTGAGACTACGCCCTGTGTTCGCAAAGTGTGGTACTTTCAACGTCTAAGCCACGCTCATATGCCCATCTTTTAGAGGGTTCAGGGTTTAGGATTTAGGGTTGAGGGTTTAAAAGGTTTAGGTTTATAAAGGGTTTAGGGTTTAGGGGTTTCGGGGTTTAGGGTTTATAGGGCTTAGGGTTTAGGAAGCTCACCCGTGCTGCGCGTGGTTTGCCCAAGCATATACCCTAAGGCTCCATGTACCCATATAGTATACACTTAGGCCTTAAAGGGGTTTCTATTATATAGTGACTTTAGGGCCCAAATATATACTATATAGGTACATGGATCCTTTGGGTATAGTCGCCAAGGAGCCACTTCACCGATGCTTGGCTGGGCAAGGACCTCGTGTTCTACGAGCGCTTCCACACTGGTGAGATCATGGCTGGCAACTACGCCTTCCGCATCTCCGAAGCTTACTCCAACAGTTGGACTTTATAAGCTTCTTGGGTTTCCTTTTTTAGTAGGAGTAATAAAGTTGAGCCGTTATTCCCCTTAGTTACTGGAGAAGTAAGGAAAGAGCCACAAGCTTCCTCCTCGGCTGGGACGCATGGCACACTGAAGCCAAGGGCGTAAAGTTCTCCAACTCAGACAATGGCATCCTCCATTTCCAGCTGCTGACGACGGTGCAGGATGAGCTGAAGTTTCCTCAAGGCCCATGGTCAAACTTCAGCGCTGCTTTATCTGACATAAGAGACCATGGCTCTTCTTAGTCAGATTCTTGCTTTCAGGTTTTAACCGAAGCAATGGTTTAGGGTTAAGGGTTTAGCTTTTCGGGTTTAGGGTTTAGGGTTGTGCTCACTTCTTCCTCTTGCTGCTGTTGGCACTATACGGCGCCCTGTGTGCATGCTCCCATGAAGATCTTGTTACGGGGCCTGATTTACCAAGGGAAAGGCTGGAAAGAAGCACAGAAAGAACGAAGTACATTAGAAGACAAGAAAGAACGGGATATTTCCTTCACTCCCACAAGAAACAAGAAACAAGAAACCAGAAACAAACAACGAAAGAACACTGACAGACTAAGGTCTTAAAGCACCCCCCCCCCCTTCCTGCCAACCCGCTTGTGCGGAAGTTGCTCCACAGAGCCCCGTGACCGCGTAACCCTATAAGCCCCAAATCCCTGGCTCCGTCCGGCCGGCGCTTTCAGGCGAGAAGTACCTTAAACCCTTAAACCCTATAAGCCCTATAAACCCTTTAACCCTATAACCCTATAAGAACTATAACCCTCTAAACCCCAAATGCTTGAGGAGAGAAGTACCAAGAGTCTTTACCTCAAACCCTTAAACCCTGTAACGCTATGCACCCCTATAAGCCCCAAACCCCCGCTTTGAAGAGAGCCCCAAACCCTAAACCCTAAACCCTTTAAGCCCCAAATGCTTAAGGAGAGAAGTACCAAGAGTCAAAAGACATCCCGAAGTACGACCGCTTTTTGGCCCTCGTCAAGCTTGCCCCTTGGGGTGGAAGGACGACAGATACAGGGTTTAGGGTTTAGGGCTTAGGGAAAATACTCTGGACCCCGACTTGCGGGGTTAACTCACCATAGGTTCCAGGCAGAGGGAATCTACAGCCAACATGCTTGATCTCTGCTCTAGGACTTTGGGAGCTTCTAGTATCCCTAGACCCTGAAAGCTGGGTAGCTATCTGCAAGTCGCAAGAGTTCCGGTTGTATGCTTAGGGCAGTTGAGCCCTATTTCTGGTTTAGGCAGCTTGTGCCCTGAACTACGGCCGACTGGACCCAAGCATCTCATGGCTGGAATCCGAAAGTCTAGAGTTCCTAGCACGCACACTGTATGCTTGCGGTTTTTGTTTCACACAGGGTTTGTTTTACCATGCTCTGTTTGACGGACCTGAAACTCTCTAGACGTTACTGCTCGAGGAAGGTGGCAGCTGGCCGCAATGAACTTGCGTAATTGAGGAACATCAAACCCTAAACCCTAAACCCTAAACCCTAAACCCTAAACCCTAAACCCTAAACCCTAAACCCTAAACCCTAAACCCTAAACCGTCGAAAGTCTCCGCTGGCCTTGGTGCGTTCGAGGTTTGGAGCTTGGTAGCCACTCCCAGGAGTCAGGCCACCCATGCAAACCCCAAACCCGAGAGTTCTTTTTGGGGGGGTGCTTCATCTTGTCTTCTGACTTCCATAATTCAACCAAGGTACCCCACAAAAGGAAATGGCAATCAAAGGACCAGGCAAAGGCAAAGCCCTAAACCCTCAAGACAAAATAACTAGAACCTGTATAATTTCCGAAAGTAGGGGAACCTTATTGGGGGCCTTACTACAACGGAACCCGACTTTTTGGGGATTTTTATTGGGGTCCCCTATTCGTGTAAACCCCCAAGTTATTCTAGGACCCGGAGTAGGCATTCCCTTTTTGTTAGGGTTGGGGTTCCCTTATAACCCCCTTAAAACCCAAAAGGGCACCCTTTTCATTCCTAGGTTACTCCTGGGTATAGTATTTGTCTGCTGTAGTAAGTTAATCCAAAGCGCCTCAGGGAGGCAGGGTGCCCCCCCCTCCCCCAGCGCAAAAAAAATTGAAAAGCCGCATCGCATCGAAAACTGCAATGCCAATAAAGAACAGAATCCAAAAAGGCAACTCGTTCAAAACAGGCCCCCACCCCAAAAAAAGAGAAAAACATTAGAGTCCAAGAAACTTTCGTTCAAAACGTTTCACCCAAAACGTTTCGTCCAAAAATGTTCCTTCAATTCGTTCAAAACGGTATTGGGACCCAAACCCTCTGCAACTTTCATAAACCCTAAACCCTACGCCCTAAATCCTGAACCCTAAGCCCTAAACCCTAAACCCTACACCCTACACCCTACACCCTAAACCCTAAACCCTAAACCCTAAACCCTACGACGTGGCCCAGGCTCTTGGTCCGAGACGCGACTTCAAGCATGTTCCTTGCAGTGTTTTTGATGCGGCATTTGCCTGGAGGGCCCTTGAACAACCTTGCACATATGTATGTATGTATGTATATGTATATGTATATGTATATGTATATGTATATGTATATGTATATGTATATGTATATGTATATGTATATGTATATGTATATGTATATGTATATGTATATGTATATGTATATGTATATGTATATGTATATGTATATGTATATGTATATGTATATGTATATGTATATGTATATGTATATGTATATGTATATGTATATGTATATGTATATGTATGTATAGAGAGAGAGAGAGAGAGTTGTTTATTTTTGGTTTAGGCGCTAGGGTTTAGGGTTTAGGGTTTGGGGTTGTGTTTTCAGATCCCGCAAGACTCGGGGAATATCGTTTATGGAACCTAAACCACAGATTGAGATGAGGTCGGAGATGTGTAGAATACTTGCTCAAAGAGCGGCTCAGGTTCTGATCGCTCGTCGCGGGCAAGGATTTTGCGCAGACGATGTGTACGGCGTTACTTTTTATCGGTCCAACAGGTCCTTCTGTTTCTCAATTGCACTTGGTACGTTCTTGCCTGCACTTCGTTTGTTGTGTGTAGAAGGAAACTCCAGCTAACAACGACCTTTTCCTCATCTGATAGCAACGAAGGCTTTCATGCAGTAAAAGACAGGAAACGAATTCTTCGGGACGTGCCCATGCAGTGTCTACAGAAGTCAGAAGCCTGCACTCAGACGCCAGCTGACTGCACAGCTCTGACGGACAAGGGCGCCATCAAGACCATACGAAATAAGAGACTCGGTAGCCCAGTGGTACCCTATTTCCTTTTTTTGGGTTCTGGTTCCCTTCTAAAAGTAACGAAACCAAAACAAGGATGCCCTTATTATAAGACGGTTGCTGGTCTACTAAGGAGATTCGATCGTTGCAGCCTCGGCTGCGTGGAAGACGTCGGGCATTGCTGGCCGAACTGCCCTACAAATATTCCCCCCGAGCTTTGGAAAAAGAAGTCTAAAGGCTTGCAGAAAGCTGGCTTTTGCCAAGACAAATCTTGCTGCTGTGAGCGAGGAAAAGGGGGCTTTGCATTGGCCATCTTACCCTAAGGGTCCATGTACCTAAACAGGCAAGACTTGGGCCTTGAAGTACTTCCTAGATAGTGACTTTGGGGCCCAAGTATCTAAGAATCAGGCACATGGACCCTTAGGGTTAGGTCTTAGGTGCGGAGAGCTTCTCATCATTCTCCCCTCAGCAGCTAGATTCCAACCGCCCCGAGTTTGGCAGCTAAAAGGCCTGAACCCTGTAGGGTTTAGGGTTTAGGGCTTAGGGTTTAGGGTTTAGGGTTTGCTGTGACAGGGCGTAGATGCTGTGAAGGTTAGGTTTCGGAACAAGCTCGAAAGCTTCGTGAGGTGCGAAGAGCAGCTTAGGCCCGATTGTGGAGGGCCATCTAACAACTTTCTCCCACCCCACGCCGTCCGAGGCGGCAAAGCCACCCAAACCTATTCCTTTTAGGGTTTAGGCCTAAACTCAAATCAACTGACTTACAAAACAACTGCTTCCGGTAATTCGTTGAAGGCGTTTCGAGCGAAACGGGACAATGAGGGGCGGGGCCAGGACGTGGGGTCAGGGGGGGCTACGTGGGACAGGAGGGGTCAGAGGGTGAGGGGGGGCAATAAGGGTGAGGATAAGGGGGTTGGCAAAGGGGGGGCCAGGGAAGGGGGGGAAACAGGGGGTCAGGGGGGGTCAGGCGGGACCAGTACGGCGTCCCGAGGAGAACGTGTTCCGGTACCGGGCCCATTGTGGGTGCTACCGACCTCCGGGCTGCAGGAGGCGGGCAAGCGACCTGGGTCGACTTTCGCCATCGAGGTGGAAGGGCTTAAGCGCCGCCCCCCTTCCGTAGGGGAGCGGCCTAGGCCCTGAGTTTAGGGTTTATGGTTTAGGTAGCCGGCACAGATCTGAGGTTCAGAGTGTAGTTGTACACCCTCCGAGATTGCAGGGCTATCTGCGTAGACCCTTGAGACAATCCAACCCCATACTGCTAATCCCTATCAAGGCACATGGAGCAGAAGAAACGCTTTTGGGGTTCATTTGGTCCCACTTCCAAGGACTAGCCAAGGCATTTTGCAGTGTAGGTTCGCCAAACTATACCTGATCCCTCAATTGCAGTTCCTCGAATTTGGCAGGGGGGTCCTACCTTAAGGTGCTATCCAGGCAGAGCCCAATTTCTTGAGGGTGTATGTTCCCGATTTCCTTAGGATGTCCTTTCAATAGCAGTATTCCAAATAAGTTTTTGGATCGTAGTATACTTGCTGCCAGTAACACGAAGATTAAGCCCTAAACCGAAGGACCGAAACATCCATGAAGCTGGGGAGTGGGCATCGCACTTCAAAAACTCAGATTTGGCGCTCGTAGCGACTACTTGGAAGCGGTCGTAGCGACTACTTGGCAGCCCAGTGGTACCCTTTACGGTAAAGCGTACCCTTTACCTTTTTTTTTGGTTCTGGGTTCCCTTAGAACCAACCGAAAAGTTGGGTGCCCTTATGATAATATGGTTGCTGGGCTACTAAGACTCTAGTTCCGCACGATAGCCGGAACGAGAAGGAATACAGACGAAAGGATGACAGTGAGAGATGCAAAGGGGTTTCTTTCCTACAACCCATCCCCAAGGCCCTTTAAGACCAGACCTGAAATGGGATCTAGCGCCCCCGAGGGTTTGGGGTTTAGGGCTTGGGGGTTAAAGCAGGGTTTCGGGCTTAGGGTACCGGTTCACAGTAGAGGATGCGGGTAACAGGAGTTGCAGCCGCAAGCCAGCCTCGACTCTGATGACGAGGACGAGGCTCCAAGAAGTGTTCAGCTAAGGGAGGCAGCCCGACGCCTGAAACCCCAAACCCCAAACCCCAAACCCCCAAACCCTAACCCCCAAACCCCAAACCCCAAACCCCAAACCCCAAACCCCAAACCCCAAACTCTAAACCCTAAACCCTAAACCCTAAACCCTAAACCCTAAACCCTAAACCCTATAAACCCTAAACCCCAAGCCCGAAACCCTATTACCCTAAGGCCGCTCCGATTTTCAAACGGTTGGGATGGTGTTGCCGGGTGTCGGCGTTTGAGCGCTATGGGTGGCGCACGCTTTTCCGAGCCATAGCCCAGAGGGTCCATGTACCGCAGAAACTGGGGTTCAGGGTTTAGGGTGTAGGGGTTTTGGGGTTTAGGGGTTAGGGTAGCCCAGTGGGCCGACTTCTGGTACAACTTCTGGAAAAAGGAACCTCCAAGACCATACTACATAGGCTTTGTTGGACACCTAATTCTGGATACAAATGGACCCTCTGGATGGCCAGGTATGGGTCCATGTGCACATACTTGGGCCCCAAAGCTTATAGGGTTTAGGGTTTAGGGTTTAGGGTTTAGGGTTTAGGGTTTAGGGTATATGGGAACCCCTTCAAGTTTAGGATTCAGCCTAGGGTTTATACGGTTCAGGGCTTGTACCTGCGTAGCATGTGAGAGCATGTGGGGTTTTGGGGCTTCGTTGTTCAATGCAGCGGGGAGAAACCCTAAGCCCCTGAACCCCTAACCCCTAAACCCTAAACATCTCAAACTCAGAAACCTCGACGCGACTCTAATTCAGCACCAAACATGATTGCCACTCCTAACCCTAAACCCTAAACCCCAAAACCTCTAAACCCTAAATCCCTAAAAGCCTCTAAAACCCCAACATCCCCTAAACAATCCTAAAAAAACCTGTAAATAATTTTACTTCGAACATCCCCACCCTTTCTTGGTAGAGATACTCTGGGGCTGGGCACTCCGGGGACACACTGGGGTTGGGCACTCTAGGGAACTCCGGTGACACTCTGCGGTTGGGAACGGCCACTCTAGGGCACTCCGGGGGCACTCTGGGTTGGGCCAGGGAGACTGTGGGGTTGGGCACTCCAGGGACAGTTTGGGGTTGGGCACTCCAGGCATGATCAAGGAGTAGACCGGGCGAGGAGAAGAGTTCCGAGCGAGGAGCAGAGTTGAGTGTAAAATCTAACAAACCCCACACCGAGAGTCGGGAAAAGCCCTAAAACCCTAAACCCTAAACCCTAAACCCCAAACCCCAAACCCTAAACCCTAAACCCTAAGACCTAAAACAAGTCGGCCCAGCTGTCAACAGTTGCTCAACGTCTTCACTCCCTGCACTGCACAGGAAGACGGAGGAATCCAAGCTCTCATAGAGGCGCCTAGGGTTTAGGGTTTAGGGTTTAGGGTTTAGGGTTTAGGGTTTAGGGTTAGGGGTTTAGGGTTAGGGGTTTAGGGTTAGGGGTTTAGGGTTTGGGGTTAAGGGTTTCGGGTTCTGGGGCCCCTTCGTGAGATCTTGTTTTGTTGTTTAGAGTTGTGATTTCGTTTAGGCGTTAGGACTTTGAATCTTTAGGCGCAAAGTAAGAATTTTGCAGTTTTGTCTCATGGGCTTTTTGGGAGGGCTCCAGGCTGGTAGTCTCTAAATCTAAGGCTGCAACACGCCCCCATGTTGAGGCGCGCGCGGGCGGGCGCGCGCACGGACAAGTGCCTTCGATGACCTTCTTCTTGTTTCCTGTGGGCCCGGCCGCTCTCGCCCGCGTGCTTTCATGTCAAAGCGCGCGTGGTGCTTCCGCATGCCGGCGAGGCTCTCGCCCAGGCGACCATGCGAATTTCAGGGCCCGCATACAGCATGAGGGGCTTTCAAACCCGAAGCCCTAAACCCTAAACCCTAAACCCTAAACCCTAAACCCTGTCAAACCGTAATTTTTAGCCCCAAATCGCAAATAGCCTGGTTTTGGCCACGGGGCCGGGTCCCGGGTGCCGAATCAGCACATTCCGTACTCGAAGTCGTGCTCTAACCCTAAATCCTAAACCCTAAACCCTAAACCCTAACCCCTAAACCCTAAACCCTAAACCCTAAACCCTAAACCCTAAACCCTAAACCCTAAACCCTAAACCCTAAACCCTAAACCCTAAACCCTAAACCCTAAACCCTAAACCCTAAACCCTAAACCCTAAACCCTAAACCCTAAACCCTAAACCCTAAACCCTAAACCCTAAACCCTAAACCCGCCCGCCACCCCTCTCATCTCTGTTGGGGTAGGCGGGCGCAGTTGAGCGCTTAGTGAGATCACGGCAGGCTCTGCTAGGCTGCAGAGCCTGCCAGGCACACTCCTGAGAGGGTCGCCTAGCTAGAGTCGCCTAGCTCGTCTCAGATAAATATTAGTACCCTAAACCCCAGGGGGGGGGGATCCTTTTTCAATTCCTGGCAACCCCTGGCCTTGACCGAGCCCTGGCCCTGGCCCTGGGCTGGGCCCTGACCGGCCCTCCTCCTGGCCCTGGCGTGGCCCTGCCCTGGCTGGCCCTGGCCCTGGCCCTGGCCCTCCTGGCCCTGGCCTGACCCTGCCTTGCCGAAAGCCTGACTCTGGCCCTGACCCTGGGCCTGGGTCTGGCCCTGGCCCTGGCCCTGGCCCTGGCCCTGGCCCTGGCCCTGGCCCTGGCCCTGGCCCTGGCCCTGGCCCTGGCCCTGCCCTGGCCCTGGCCCTGGCCCTGGGCTGGCCCTGGCCCTGGCCCTGGCCTGGTTCTGGCCCTGGCGGCGTTGGCCCTGCTGGCCCTGCTGGCCCTGCTGGTCCTGCTGCCCTGCTGGCCCTGCTTGCTGGCCCTGCTGGCCCTGCTGGCTCTGCTGCCCTGCTGCCCTGCTGGCTCTGCTGGCCCTGCTAGGCCTGCTGGCCCTGCTGGCCCTGCTGGCTGCTGGCCCTGCTGGGTCTGCTGGCCCCTGCTGGCCCTGCTGGCCCTGCCTGGCCCTGGGTCTGGCCTGGCCCGAACCTGGCTCTCTGGCCCTGGCCCTGGCCCTGGCCCTGCCCTGCCCTTGGTAAACCCTTGGTAGGACCTTAAACCCTGCCAGTTAGGGGGGCTTTTACACAAATGTCCGAGACCCTTCCAGTAGGCAGAAGGCTGCTAAAGAAGGCCTTGGAGCTGACAAGAAGCCCTCTGAAAGGTCCGACCCCTCGCTTTGACCGCTCTAGTGAGTTTCGTTCTCTGGCCAAGTGAACTTCGGCGTGGGGGGGGATTCTTGCAAAACCTGCAGACTCTTCACGCCCTGAATTTTCTGTGAGAGGGCCCTTCGGCCCAGACCGTCCCCTGCGCAAAACCTGAGGGGGGGATCCTTTGCCTTGTGCCCCCGAGTGACCTCCGAAGTCAAGGGACACCCTTGGCACCCCCTCAAAGTAGTCCCAGGCAGTGCTCGACATGCTGCCTTCTGGCCCCAGATGATCTCCGACTTCCTAGTGTCCCAATCAGCCACTGTTCCCAAGTGACCCCCCCAAGAAATCGCCAACAGCTCGCCCCAAGTTCGGCAAGTGTTCACGACTCGCACATATCCCAAGCTTTCGCAGTGTTTTATCTTAGTGTGCTCTGAACATGTTCGATATGTGAGATTTGAATGGCTGGCTTGGCGTTGGCTGGCTCCGGTTTGGTTTCGTGATGAGTATTGTTTGGGTGGCCTCGGGGTGGGCATGTCTTCACACTTTTGCGTTCAGCTGACCAATGCTACACCCTAAACCCTAAACCCTAAACCCTAGACCCTAAACCCTAAACCCTAAACCCTAAACCCTAAACCCTAAACCCTAAACCCTAAACCCTAAACCCTAAACCCTAAACCCAACCCTAAACCCTAAACATAGATCCCATGCTCTTTTTTGAGGCGCCCTTCCATGTCGCTAAAGAGAGGAGCGGTTCTCCGAAGTGTCCGCCGGACGTTTAAAACTCGCAACCCCGTTTTCTGTGGACCATAAACCTAACACTATATATATATATATATGTACATATATATATATGCATATACATATATATATGTATTATATGCATCATTATTATGTATCTATATATATATATATGTATATACAGAGTGTTTAAACTGTAGTTCCATTTTCTGGTATTCTTCACCTCTCAACAAGATCCCACACGATTAAAGGTCCAGGTATCTCCTCCCGAGCTTGTGAATACAGTCTAAGACGGGACTTTCTATAGGGGGCCTTAATACTTGGAACAGGGTTATGGAGGTCATTCTAGTATCATGGTATAGAGGGACCGAAAGGAGAATGATTCCGACCCCTAGACTAGGCTCATGGTGTGAAGCTTCCGAGGCCGGGTTGCCTTCTTTACATCCATCCCAGGAAGCCTTTTACCTTATTACTAAATATTTGGGCCCCCCAAAGTCTCTATATAGCAAGACTTTAAGGCTTAAAAGCCCAAGTCCTCCCTACTTAGGGACATGGACCCTCAGAACCAACCCGAAACCCTAAATCCGCGAAGAAAGCATGCGGGGGGGGGGCTTGGGGGGCTTGGGGGGGGGTCCAGGACGAGAAGTCCGAAGACGAAGGCGCGGCTTCGAATGCGGTGTTCCTAAACCCTGACCTATTATTTGCTCAAGAACCCCCCCAAACAATTTAAAATGAATGATCCCTAGATTACCGTATATTCACCCTTATAAGGAATAGCATTTCTATCTTTTGCGGGGTTCTTAAGCAATTCGTAGTATCTCCTTGTCCCGACAACTCCTTGTCCCGATAGCTAAGCCACGAAGCTCTGGGAAGGCATGACGAGCAAGTGCCCTTTAAAGAGGATTTCGGGTTTAGGGCCTAGGGTCTAGGGTTTAGGGTTTAGGGTCTAGGGTTTAGGGTTTAAGGAGGAGCATCATCAAAGGTGAAGGGCGTGTAAGTTCCTTTCCATGAGAAGTGTGCTTGGCAACGAGCGGATCAAGCACCGAAACCCTAAACTCCAAACCCTTAACCTTGGACCTAAACCCTAAACGAGCAGGTGTCTCCAATTCGGGTAGTGCCGAGTCGGAGCCAGATGGGAATCCGAGGCACGATTGGCCGGTTTGGGAATCAGGGAGGAGGTGTTTATTGGGTTTAGGGTTTAGGGTTTAGGGTTTAGGGAGGGTTTAGGGTTTAGAGTTTAGCGTCTAGCGTCTAGCGTTTAGCGTTTAGGGTTTAGGGTTTAGCGTTTAAGGTTTAGGGTTTAGGGTTTGGGATTTAGGCTGAGTTTAGCGGTGTTTCGGACTCCTGGCATGAGGGCCGTCCACTGGATTTTCTTGCAGACAGGGCTAAACCCCCAAAACCATAAATCTTAAGCACCATGAGCCACCAAGCTCGGGGATTGAGGGTTTAGGGTTTAGGGTTTGGGGTTTAGGGTTTATGAGAAATGAACCCAAAACCCTAAACCCCAAACCCTAAACCCCAAACCTGAAGCCCTAAACACATAGAAGCCCGAAGCTTGGAGATGGAAGGTTCACGGATGAAAAGGTTTAGGGTTTAGAGTTTAGGGTTTAGGGTTTAGGGTGTAGGGTGTAGGGTTTAGGGTTTCAAGAGGCCTATAGTCCCTGAATCTCCACCCTGACAAGCCGAGGTTGCGAGGGTAGGGAAGACCATTTCTTCAACACTATGCACCCCAAACGCTTCGCCATGCTAAACAAACCCTAAACCCCAAACCCTAAACCCTAAACCCCAAACCCCAAACCTCAAACCCTAAACCCCATACCAGGAACCCCTAAAAAATCCCTAGGCCTGGACTTAAAGGGGAGGCCCGGTTACGAGGATCGTTCGGGTCTAGGTTTTTTTTGTTTAGGGTTTAGGGTTTGGGGTTTAGGGTTTATTAAGGGTTTAGGTTTTAGGGTTTAGGGTTTGGGGTTTAGGGTAGCAATCTCCCACCCCCCAAGACAGGACGGTGCCTTGATTGTCGGGTCCATTTGATACGGCTACCCTGCTCCACCCTCCTCAAGCCTCAAGCCTCAACCCTCCTCAACCTCCGCAACCCTCCTCAACTCTCCTCAATCCTCAAACCTCAACCCTTAACCCTCCCCCCCCCCCCCCCCCCCCCCCCCCGCCCCCGAAGGAAAAGAGACACCCATTTCGAGACCCCCCCCCCCTTTTCGTCTGAAGCAGCCCAAGGACACGCACGAATTGTTGTTCTTCAGGTTCAAGGGGGCGCCCTAAACCCTAAGCCCTAAACCCTAAACCCTAAACCCTAAGGCGAGTCTAGGTCTAGGTTTATAGGGTTTTGCAATTCAGGTTTCAGGCTAAACCTCAACCCCTAAGCTCCCCTCTCCTGATTCAAGGACGACACCTAGTACTGAACAAGTTTATAGGGTTCAGGGTTTAGGGTAACCCCCTAACCCCTAAACCCTAAACCCTAAACCCTAAACCCCCTAAACCCTGTGATGGTTTAGAGCTTGTCATGGAAAAAAAACAAACCCTAACCCCTAAACCCCTAAGCTCACTCTATTGATTCAAGGACGGCGCCTCTCCCCTTCCTCAGCAAGTTTCTCAACCAGCTGGTCCTCGGCCAAGGACTGGGTATCCCTGGGCCGCAACCGTACCTCAAGGTAGTTTAGGGTTTAGGGTTTAGGGTTTAGGGTTTAGGGTTTAGGGTTTAGGGTTTAGGGCTTAGGTAGCCTGCTTGGAGGATCATGGGACTTAGTATGTAGGGTTACTAAATTGGGGGCTATAAGTAGTTGTAGCTATCGTTCCCCTAATTTTAACCCCACTAGCTAATGTACTTGAGCCTTAAGGGGGTTCCTAGATGGTAGCTTTACGGCCCAAGTATCTACTGTATGGGCGCATGGATCCTCAGGGGAAAGGGAGGGATTAGATTCTGAGTTTTTGTTGCTATAGCCTTATTGGGTGAATATTCTGGGTTTAGGGTTATTGGTGAAAATAGGGTTCCTGACAAAGATTGGTGTATGCATGGGGTAGACAAAAAACTGACCTACAGTCTACCCTTTCAAAAGGTGCATCCATTAATTGAGGTAGGTTCCCATGTTTAAGAGATAGCTGGTTACTCTCGTGGACTTTCAGATGTCGCCCTTGCGGAAGGGGAGCAACCTGGCCGTAACCCTTATGCCTATTCAGAGTTGCCAATCTGGTGATTCTCTGAGCAGGCAACCTTTTTATCCTTCTTGGGGTGGCAGAATTCCTGTGGAAATTGCCAAGGGCTTAATGCGACGCTGGCCCAAACTAGGAACTAGAGTTGAATCATGCAGTAATCATGCAGGTTAACAATGCCTCGTAACTCCCGACAAGTGCTACCGAAACCCTGAGCGCTAAGTTTATGCGTGCCACAGCAAAGATTGCGCTAGCTTCACTGCGGTGAATCCATTCAATAACAAGCGGGCGTAAGCCTAAACCCGAAACCCTATACCCTAAACCCTAAACCCTAAACCCTAAACCCTAAACCCTACACCAAAGACTCGATGCCTCGAAGCCTTCGATCGCAAGTTGGACAGGCGGCGCTGCCTTGGAGGGCGACGAGGTGGGGGACGTTCGGAGTGAAGGGTTTAGGGTTTAGGGTTTAGGGTTTAGGGTTTAGGGTTTAGGGCTTAGAGGTTAGGGTTTAGGGTTTAGGGTTTAGGGTTTAGGGGCATTCCAGGGGCCGAGTGCAGGAACTTCAGGGAGAGGGCGAGAAAGAGCGTAGGCCTTAGGGTTGAGGCCGGTGGCGCAGTTCGTCACAAGACTTAGGGCATTCAGAGTTTCAAAGCGCCAGCGCTTTGCAACTCTGGTGGCTGTTGGCTGTTGACAGCCGCAGCAAAGAGTGGCCCAGAGAAACAACAGAAGAGAATGAATTGAGGTGAGAAGGAATTTAGGCGAGGTTAGGTGCTTTATAACTGTGTGGGTTTGAGATTTGAGGATGTAAGCAGGGTTTCACTCAGGCTATGGGTTTCTGATCTCGTCTGTTTGGAAAGCTTTACAGTGCTTGGACTGTGGGTTTTAAGGTTGAGGGCCTTTGGCAAAGGGAGGGGGGGGGGGGGCTTTCTAGGGCTTTAGGGCCTGGAGTGTCACGCTCAGAAGCTTTGAGGCTTTTGTTTTCGGGCTTTGGGGCCCTAAAGGCTTGAGGTTACAGAATTCGGTGCGGAGATGTCGGAACCTTTATGTCTGTGGCTTTGGACTTTCAGTGGCTTTACATGAAGCAGGCGGTTCATATAACTGCTACTGGTGAGTGTATATAAGGTTCCTTTTTAATATTGGCGAGTGTTTATATTGGGTGTCCTCTTTTGGGGACACAAGGAATATAAACCCTACGTCAGACATGCCCCTTCAGTTTGGGCCTTGGTCCGAACTGCCAAGACTTCAGAACGCTTTGGGCGAAGTTGGGATGGGTTGGGGGGGGTATTTAGGCCTGTCCAAAAACGCCGAACGTTGTGAGATGCGCTGGGCTTTTTTGGTATGTCCATTTATACCAGGGTATGCCAGATTCTTCTGCGATCTGCATGAGGGCTGTACAGTTTTTGGGGTCTGGAGACAGAGGGCGAATGCTTGTTCAGCTTTGAAGAATGATGGCCTAGTTAGGGTGGCTTCACGTGCTCCTACATCCTCAACCCTAAAATCTAAACCCTAGAACCCTCAACCTCAATGCTCAAGGCACGGATACAAGTGAGGCGTCTAGGACATCTATACTCCAGGCCCCAAATCAGATGTCGGGTTCGCGGCCGTACATGATACACGAGGCACTCGGTTTGGGGCTCGGAGTTTAGGGCTTCTTGGGCTTAGGGAATTGGGCCCCAAAAAGAGCCCTGCCTCGCACTTTGTATGCATATATAGACAGATAGATAGATAGATAGATATATGTGTATATGAACATAGAACATATATATATATATATATAGATGTGTCTATGTATATACATATACATATATAGTATGTATGTACACATGTGCATACACGGGTAGATACAGACATAGTTATAGATCTAGATATATGTCGACATATATATATATATATATATACACATATGTGTATGTATGTATGTATGTATGTATGTATGTATGTATGTATGTATGTATGTATGTATGTATGTATGTATGTATGTATGTATGTATGTATGTATGTATGTATGTATGTATATATGCTGGATAAAATCTCATCACCATGAAGCCTTCAACTCGCAGCGTCCAGGCTTGCGTGTCCCCAGTCCTGCGGGTGAGGCCTGCGAAGGACTGGGCGAACACCGCCTCGGACTTGGACCGAGTCAGGGTTTAGGGTTTGGGTTTTGGGTTTTGGGGTTTAGGGTTTAGGGTTTAGGGTTTAGGGTTTAGGGTTTAGGGTTTCGGCCGGCCTTTAATATGGGCTTAAGGCGTAGGGTTTAGGGTTTAGGGTTGAGGGTCTAGGGTTCAGGGTTTATAGGGCTCAGGGTTTCGTAGGGTTTAGGGTGTAGGGTTCAGGACATAAAGTTGATGAGGTTTGACATGTCCTTATAAACAGGCAGGGCTTGGGGCTGCATATGAAATACTTCTGCAGGTATCCCTCACCACTTTACTCTCTTTGGTCTGTGGGTGGTGGCGGAGGTATTGGGTTTAGGGTTTAGGGTTTGCGGTTCATTAGGAAGCGTGAGGGCAACCGGTTGCACCGAACTTGTCGGAGGGCCTGGTGGTTTGGGTGGTGGTGGATGGTCCCCTCGGCGTGTTAAATGGGCAGTGATGGTGGGTCGTGGTTTGCTGGTGGAGGCGATCGCGTTCTTGGTGAAAGTGGAGTCGGACATGATGGCAGTGAAGTTAGGGGTGGTGGTATTGGAGGTGGAAGGGGTGAACATGAAGTTGGATGTGGCAGAAGTGAAGCAAGTGGTGGTACGGCTGGTGGAGGAGAAGTCAGCACATATAGGTTTCACATTTTCTGGAGGACGGGTAACCGTCTCGTCTAGATGGAAAAGGGGCGAATCCAGTGGGCCCTAACCCTAAACCCTAAACTCAGGTGCGCGGCCTCTCCGCCCGCGCGCGGAAGAGGCTCCTGAGCTCAGCTGCTTGCCCTTCGGGTGCGATGGCGATCGCCTCGGATGCGCCCAAACCTCAGAGGGGTGGAGGCTTGGGACTTGGCCTTCAGGGCCAGGAAAGGTGTACCCTGATATACATATATATATATATATATACACATGTATGTGTATATATAAGTATGTATATATATATATATGTATATACATGGAGATCGCTTGTATGCATATATACATATATACATATATACATATATACGTAGAGATAGCGTGTGTGTATACATATACATGTGTTTACTTATTTCCTCGGCCTTGCATTCCTATATAGTAGCTTTGGGGCCCAGATTAAATACGTGCTGTATTCGTACACAGACCCTTACATACGGGGTGGCTGCCTAGTGGTCATGCATCTGAAGCAAAGCACATGGTGTCCGAGACTATGTGCACCTTGCGCCATGTCTTCCCTAGGCCCTAAACCCTAAACCTTAAACCCTAAACCCTAAAACCCCCCCAAAGCTGCTTCTGCCCTCAACCCCTAGACTCTCTCAATGCCGAAGCCCTATTGGGTTCCCTGGGTCCTCAACTTGTTAGCTTTACTAACAATTGCTTAAGAACCTCAAAAAACATTTTGGGTTTAGGGTTTAGGGTTAGGGTTTAGGGTTTAGGGTTTAGGGTTTAGGGTTTAGGGTTTAGGGTTTAGGGTTTAGGGTTTAGGGTATAGGGTATAGGGTTTAGGGTTTAGGGTTTTAGGGCTCTTAAGCAAATAGTAGTGTAGGGTTGAAGGTCTACAGTCATTCTCAAGTAGTCGACCTCGGGTTTCGAGGTTTCAGTTTGGGGAAATTGAAATTTTTGGAGGTGTCAGGCCATGTCGTGATGTAGGGTGCATGTTGTATGAGCTCCCCCCTTTGTTGGCCCTGAAAAATGCCCTGACGGTTTAGGGCTTTTGTGGCCTAAACCCAAACTTTGCCCATGTGCATAAGCCACCTATAGCCCTCGCATAGGCTGGAGGGCTCCGGGGTGCAGTCAGCCCGGAATGCTTTGAAACTCTGAGATCCCTATAAACCCCTTTAAGAGGGGAGTTTTAGGGTTTAAGGTTTAGGGCCATAGGGTTTAGGGTTTAGGGCCCATTTAGGCACCCCTGAACCCCAAACACCCGATATAGAATCCCTAATTTCAAGAAGTACCTGAGTGCCCAAGCCCATGCCTCCCTTATAGCCTGAACCCACGTAGCCCTTCACTGAGGGCCTGAGATATGTAGGTTTCGTGTCTAGATTCCTTCGCTCGAGAGATGCTAAAATGTTCCTGCAAGCCTTCCTTCAAGCTTTCCGCATGCATCCACGCTCTTTGAGGGGAGAAACCGATAACCCAAAATAACCCTAAACCCTGAAGGTCAGGGACGCTGAGGTTTGAGAGGCTTAGCTTGCGCGCGCACACGCACACACCTACTCTCGGAACCACACCATAGACACCCTCAGCCCTAAACCCTCCCCTCCCCCCCCCAATCCTTACAAGCCCTCAACCCTAAACCCTCACGGAACTGATGAAGGCTTCGGTTGCTCCGCGGCCGTCTCACCCTGTACGAAGCCCTCTCTGAACAGCCGACACGCTTCGGAATTAGGGTTCAGGATTGATGAGGTTTAGGGTTTTGGGTTTATAGGGTTTAGGGTTTAGGGTTTAGGGTTTAGGGCATGGGGTGTACGTAGTGGCCCGGCGTCTATTAGGGTTCGGGGTTGGTTTGAGGTTTGGGTTTAGGACTTTTCGAGGGTGGAGTTCTGAGTTGATAGGGTTGACGCTTACCCTAATCCGTTCCCCCTAATATAAAAGGCCCCCCCCCCCCCTTGTATAAAAACCCCCGAAGGGTTTTTAGTATTAGGGGGGGTTCTTATCGTTTGTCCGAGAAACCAGCCCGTCCTTATTGTAGCATGCTGGCTCAGCAGCCAAGCCTGGGCTTAAGCCTGACCCAGCCGGTTTGCAGACCCAGGCCAGAGAGAGATCAGACGTGTTTAATTAAGTGAATGACAGTTCAAGCAGAAGACCAGCTGCATTGTGTTTAGCACAAAGAGGTCAGGTCAATTCCATGGGGTGCTGTTTAGATGTACATGTAACTTTTGGGTTTGGGCCTGGGATAGAAGCCGACTTCTTCGTGGACAAGCCGGAATAGAGGACGAGACTTTGTGTCCGTTCGCAGCTGTAAGCTGCTCAAGAAGGGCCCTTCTAGTATTGTAGCAGCCGAATCTGTACAGTTTTCGCCCCCGTGGATAGTATTCCTGTACGTCGTGGACTTGATTGGCCAACTCGCATCCGGAGGAAAGAGGAGCCAAAAGGGTCGGGCGTTGACGAGGAATAGATCCTTTTCCCTAACCTCGGGATAGTTATCTGTTCTCTTTACAACTCATAGCCGGAGGCCGGAGGATACTGAGTGCAGGTGGCTGTTCAGGTGAATATCGGGATAGGTGTACAACACGCAGCCGGACGGCTAGTGGATACATCTAGAGCGATAGGTTACCACCCCCTGGAGATAGCAACTCTGGGGATCCTTCCGATAGTTAACGTCGGGAGTGGCTTGGAACGATTGGCTAGCTACCTTGAGTTCCCCGTTGACAGGGATACTGTTACTTCTGGTGCAACATTACAACCTACAACTGTAAATATACAACTTCTTTCTTCTCGTGTGGCCTGAGCTAGTTACTGGAACGGGTTGCGCAAGTTTTCATTGGATTGGACACTTCGCACAGGTTAAGAGCCTTGTCGCTTGGCCTGGACGAGCTGTTCGAGAAGTTTTCTTGGTATAGCGAAGAGGTACCACTTGCATAGCGAAGTTTTCCGCATTTGTCACTTGTGTTCGTTGACTGCAGCAATGTCCACACGTGATAGCATTGGGAGCAGTGAGTCTAGCGATAGTGATGTGTTGGGAGTAGGGAATAGATTTCTCGAGGACCAGGTCACTGCGGTCAATCAGGATGTGGCCGCTGCCGATAGTCATGCGAGAAGCATAGCCGACGCCGAGAACGTGAACTTCATCGACGACGGACGGAATAGTGGAAGGACGGGAATGGAGATGGATAGCAGTGCTGATAGAGATCGCCTCGACCTCAGTTTCTCAGGACCGCTTACTGTAGACATCAGGTCGAGTGCTGCGAATAATACGTTAGTGTCAGGACCACCCCCAGGACTGACGGATAGAAACTTGGAGATCGTGGCGGCGATGGATAGTGTGGGGAGGTCGGGAGGACTGGGCTATGCCGGAATAGCGGACACGTCGGGCACTCAGGGGAGGGACGCAGACGAAGGATTGCAGGAGTTGCTCGCAATCCCGTCGATAGCAGATAGAGGGGATGCCGTAATGCAGCTCAGCATGCTTGCAAGCCGTCCTGTAGTGTTTGATCCAGATTATGGGAGCTACAGATTTAAATGAGTATAGGGCCGGAAGAGGTGGGATAGAAGCGGGAAACGCTAGGACTCCGACGCTTGCTATCGAGGATCTGGCTGGAATAGATGAAAGGATGGAAGAGGGACCGTTCGTCATCCCCTCCGAGCCTGTATCCCACGGGATGAATTACGAGTCAACGGGAGGTGCCAAGGGAATCACTGGTTCCAGGTTAGAAATGGCGATCGAGGACAGAGTGGATAGTCTTGCAGTGTCATCATCGTCAGATCATGATAGGACGATCAGGAGGAATGATGATGGAATAGATGCGATGATGCCCAGTGGCGAGCTCGGTGCGGAGGGCGATCGAACGAGAAGTGCGGATAGCGGACATTGGATGGGCAGAGGGAATGGAGATGATCTCGTTCCAGGAGTGTATTCGAATAGTGCGACCATGATTGGGAATGTCGGTGCCGATCCTACAGACCTGGAGTTGATAGCTAAGGGATCGTCAGCGGTAGCGCAGAACGTGGTCAGTGAGAGCGATGATAGAGCACTGTCTGTATTTTCATCTACAGGTCTCTCGGAGGCATCACCAGGCGGGAACGTTGAAGCGTTGAAGGATGTGAGGATGGGTCAGACTACGACGATCGGAATAGAGTGGGGATCCCATGGAATCCGGAGTACGCTCGAGGAAACGGGGGTCATCACTGACATGGACTTTGCGAAGTTCTTCACAGATCAGGGGCCAGGAGAGCCTGGATCAACGCCCATGACGATGCAATCGGATTCGCAGGAACGGTGGAACGCTGGGATATATGGTGCCGAGATCGCAGGGGTAGAGAAAGACAGGTCACGAAAGATGTCGATGGGGTCGGATAGTGGGCACTCAGGTGGTCGATCTACATCATTGAAGAGGGATAGCCCGGGTGAATCGGAAAATGGAGTTGGTACCACCAGCAAGATAGGCAAGATGGATGAGGGACTGCGTAAGCAACGAGCGGAGCAGGCCGTTAAGGAGATGAACCAGATAGCCGAGAGCGTCCCCGCAGCGAAAAAGTCGAAATCGACAGAAATTGGGGGACCGATCCATCAGGCAGGAATGATCACCCCGGACCAGGGTAGCGAAGGATGGGGCAATCGATCCCCGGCTCCACGGTCTCCTGGGATAGGTGGGCAGTACGAGCATTTCGGGATCGATACTCCTCCTGAAGGACGAGGCAGGAACGACGAGATGAGGGCAACATCATCCCCACCCAGGCGGGCAAAGATGAGAGCTCCTGCTGATCCGGACAAGTCGTCGTTGGGAGAGATAGATGGCAGGATAGATGACTTGCAGACGGTGGTTGTGGACACGCAGACCGACGTAGCCAAGCTTAAGGTGGCAAGCGAATGTGCAAGTGCAATTGCTAATAGCTCAGCGGAAAAGGCGGACGTCGTGAGCAAGAGATTGGTGGAATGCGAGGAGGAGGTGAAGCACTGGAAAGGTTGGATAGAATCGCAGCAGATAGATACCAAGACAACACTGTCGCAGGAGCTGAAAGAGATGAGTCGGATCATGGACGGGAGCGTCAGCGAGGATAGGATGGATGATGCAATGGCTCCGCAACTGACCGAGGGAGCAATGCAGCTCGCACGGAGAATGAGACGGCAGGTTGAAAACGTGAAGGTGCTCAAGACCTCTGTTACGACTAGATTGAAGGGAGTGGAGGAGCGATTGTCCACAGCGGAGCATTCAGCGGACATAGCCAAACAGAGTACCGGGACGAAGATCACCACGTTAGAGACAGGATTGAACGAGGTGAGACGTGGCATAGGTGTAGTCTTCTCGAGCATGCAAATGCGACACGAGAATGGAACATGGAAGAACGAGAGACTGGATAAAGTAGAGACGGTTTTGAATAGACAGTGGGACCAGATCAAGATAGCGGGCGAGGAACTAAGGAAGCTGAAGTCCAAGGGGAGCCAGAAAGCCGGAACAGATACGGCATCGTCGTCACATTGCAACAGCCAAGGAAAAGGTCCTGGATGCGGATGCAGAGAACCTGGCGAGGGTCACGGCACGTGCATAGATGGGGCAGTGCGGGGCGAAACCAAGAAGCTGAGTGAAGTGGTTCTGGCGCAGAAGGAACACATAATGACCGTCGCGAGAGAGGTGATAAAGAACCGCAAAAGCGTGGCTGAGATTGTGGCGAACATGACAAAGGTTCACAAGACTTGCGAGAATGTCGCTGCAAGGACCGATCGGATGGATGAGAAGAGAAACGGAGAACAGGCCTGGGTGAAGGATACCGTGCGAAAGATGGAAAAGACAATGGAATCAATGTCGAGCCGTATGATAGATGAGCAGAAGAGAGTCACGGGCGAATTTATCCTTGTCAATGCTCGAATTGATGAGAGCGCACGGAACGAAGGGGTAGGCAAGATGCGAGGAAACAGCGCGGAGATAGGAAAGCCACCGACCATGTCACGCGGACGAGATAGTCACGGTGGGAGTGGGGGAGCCGACGGAAGAGCCAGGAGCGACAACGCCCGAGGGATAGAGGCTTCGAGGCCGGAGTTGGCAGGTCCTGTGGTAGATCGAAGGATTGAGAATAGATGCATTGTGTTAGAACAGCAGGTGACCAAGATCACTAGTCAATTGCAGGGGTTGACCACTGTGAACGAGCGGATCGTGAGGGAGAACGCTAGCCTGCTCAGTGAGATAGAAAGCGTGAAGGGGGAGAACAAAGGAGTGACAGAATCGGTAGCGCGGATGATCCGGGATAATAGAGATGAGGTATCTAAGATGAGAGCGGATCTCGATCTTCGTAGTAGAGAAATGATTGAACTCAAAGAGAAGAACGAGCAGTTGGAGGCAACGGTACGAGAGTATGAGCGGAGACTGGAGCAGGTGAAACGAAACGATAGCATTAAAGCAGAGCTGGATAGCATGTGGAATAGAATCGGTGAGGTCGCCAAGCAGAGCTCCGAGTACGCTATGCCGGCGCCGGCTGTGGGAGGTGCTTCGAACGCTGGCTCCGCAAGACCAAGTGCCGGTGCCACGCCTGCGCCAAGTTCGTTTGGGGATAGAAGAGAGCATGGAAGAAAGAATAGACAAGGAGATGGAGGTTTGTTGGGGGAAGAGACTAGGATTAGAAGGTGCCCCGTGTGTGTTAGACAAGCGGAAATAATGATTGCGTGCCAAGGCTGCGGAAGAGAAGTGTGTGGTAATTGCTATGAATACCATGATGACTTGTGCATGTTGTGCTCCACTGATAGACGGGGATGCGATGCCGGAGGGTATGCAGGGACAGGACTTCCAAGGCCGCAGAGTGGACGCGATCGTGAAGGGGACGATGCCAGGTTCAGAAATCCGGTAGGCGGAGGGTATAACAAGTTCAAGGACACCAGAGGGATGGAGAAATGCAACGAGATATCGATAGCGAAGGAGCCATCATCCGGGGAAGTAGGACTGTGGCTGGGCGATGTTGCACACACTGCGAAGGCTGCGTATCTGTATGACGGGGACTATGCATACACGCAGGTATTGAGGGTGCGCGAAAGGAGCGAAGCGATGATAGACATGGAACTCAAGTATCCTGCGTTAGAGAACCAGCTTTTTAGCGGATTAAAGAGAGCAATAAAGTCAGAGTCATTGTCGGCGAAGGTGAAGATGGAGATGTACAAGACTCAGCAAGTGGGGGATGGAAAGCCGATGACGGCCATGAGATTGCTTACGCTGATAGTAAAGCATGTTGAGATCCCGATTGCAAAAGAGAGTCAGGTGCTGTACGATGGCCTGAGTAGCACGAAGGTGATGAGTTTCCCGGGGAAGCCCGAAGAGGAGGCACTGGAGGAGTTCATGACTAGATGGGATCTAGCGCACACGAACCTTATAGGACTGAAAGGCAATACCTGGAGCGAGCAACAGCTGGGATGGATGTTGCATTCGAAAGTGCAGAGAGTTCAGGTGCTGAACCACGATATTGAGGCATGGAGACTGCTTCCGGACGAGGCCAAGACTCATACCTGGTTGCGAAAGAGAATCAAGGATAGACTGGAGATGTGGAGAGCGGACAAGAACATAGACGAGGCATCAATGCGGGTGAGTCGACAGGCATTCACGAGTGGGTACGCTGCGATGCCGGCTCAGCAGGGATCATATAGAGCACCGGTGAATAGAAGAAGCGCGTACGCCGATGATAGACCGAGGAGTTCATCGCCCGCAGGGGGAAATAGCTACGGAAGAGGGATATCTGTGGGAAGAGGCAGGGACGGACTTTCGCAGGCGGGGAGAGCCGACCCGAAGAATAGATATGGATCCAAGTCGCCGTTTGGAAAAAGAGGGGTCTGCTACCCCTATACGCGTGGAACTTGCCCGATGACTGCGGCGGACTGCAAGCATTCGCACGATATTTATCTGTATAGTCAGGCGGAAGAGGTCCTCAAGAAGGCGGGATACTGCTTTGAGCATTTTCGGTACGGCAGCTGCAGAAATGACAAGTGTAAAATGCTCCATGAGGCTATCCCGAATAGCATTAGGGAGGCTTTTGAAACGGTAGAGATAGAGACGAGGCCGTCGAGCCCTCATGCTGATGGTGAAGGGCCAAGTTTTCGCTAGGGGCGGGCCGAAACCCACAGGCCAGCGAGGATAGCCAGGTGTATGCGGCCATGCCTGTGGTACGACAAGGGGATGATGGCGCCGAAGGCACGCATAGGGGAATACTGGTGACGACGACAGGCAGGGAGCGAGTGAGGAAGGGTAATAGGCGAGTCAAGGGGTTGGGCTCCGAAGAGACGGGGATAGCAGGACTGGATATATGCTATTGGAAAGGACACACAGCTGATAAGATGGTACGAAAATGCAAAAACGTACACAAGAAGGGGTATGTACATGATGTGAAACGATATCCCGTGATTGAAGAGGCAAAGGCAAGGCTACGAGGAATATCCCTAGCCGAAGAGGTCGTGCTGGACATACTTGCCGGGGAGCAAGGCGAGGAAGGTAGGGATGCATTAAGACTGGCTGATAGGATAGTGGAGGAATGCAGGAGAATAGGTATAGTCGACGAGAGATTCCGCGTGGATAGTCGAGAGGTTAGTCAACCGGCGGCGTCTGCACAACATTGCTTGCCCCCGGTAATGAGACGATGGATGATAGACTCCGGGTGCGCTATGGATCTAATAGCAGAAGCAGACCTCACCCAGGATGAAAAAGATATGGCCATTGAGGCGAAGAAAGTGAGGTTCAACACTGCCAACGGCAACACCACGTCAAAGCAAGAGATATGCATGGATATACAAGGGATGCCTGAGACGATGAGGATTAGAATGCTCGAGAGTACTCCCGCTGTTCTATCAATGGGGAGGAGATGTATGAAAATGGGATATTCATTTCATTGGCTGGCGGGTGCAAACCCCGTGTTCGTCAAGCCTGATTCGAGCTTGATAGTGCTAAAAGTCATCGGGGATATCCCATACATGGTGGATAGAATGTCAACGGTTGTCAACGAAAGTGAGCGTAATGACTATCACATCTATCCCGCTATGCCAGCGCCTCTTGCGATTGAACTGCCCGTGCGAGGAAATTCCAGTCCGAGGAGACTTGAAGAGAAACAGGATGAATGTAGCCCCAAAAGCGTGGACTCGGACACGGATAGAGACACCGAAGAGGAACCGATAGGAAAGGCCACCAACGATGACGGGAGGCTACTAGACAAGTGGATGTTAACGGGTAATAAAGCGGTGTGTTTCCACAACAAGCCAAGAACGAAGACTTGCGATCCATGGTTTGAAACACTGAAATTCCCAGAGATACATGCACTCGTGCCGCGATTCGCCGAGAGATGTAGATCCAAACGTGTGTACAAAGATGGCAAAACCGTGGCGGAATGGATAGACTGGGTGGACAAGTATAGTGAGGGAGAGAACAGAGACGCGGAAGAGGACTTATGGACAGGCAAGACCATGTTCAAGATAGAAGGGCTCACATTCGAAGGAGCGGATGCAGGAGAAGCGGTGCAGAGCGATAGCGCGAAGGTGAGAAAACATATCTTGAATAGAATGGCTGCGGACGAAGACGCGGGGCTAGATGACCTGACGATGATGCTGGACAAGAACATCGGTACCGGTGGCGAGGCAGAGACGCTAGTCGAGATAGCAAGGTGTTTATGGCCACTTGCTCCTCAAGAGATACTTGACGGCGGAAAGGCACATAAGCCCCAGGGAGAAACGAGACCTGAAATCATGAAGATAAGGAAAGCGATTGAAGGGAGCAGAAGGGTTATTGTGCACATTTGTTGTGGAAAGTCAAGGGGAAAGTTTGATGACATCGCAAGCGAACTGGGAATGAGTGTGATAGATATCGATATGGAGGAGAACGTGCTGCGATCTGATACATGGTGGTGGCTAGTGAAGCTGGCCACGACCAATTTGGTTTTTTGCTGGCTAGCCGGACCGCCTTGCAGAACGAGGTCCGTGATGAGATACAGAAGGCCTGGTCCGATTCCGCTTAGGTCGAGGAACGGACCGGAGAGGTGGGGATACTCATTTATCAGTTGGGCACAGAAGCAGGAATGCCGGGACGACGATATCATCATACTGCGCGTGTGCATGCTTGTGGTGATAGGAAAGGCACGTCACCGACGATTGAGAGCCCCAACGATGTGTCTCATTGAGCAGCCCCAGGACCCCGAGACGTATTGGGATGATACGCCCGAAGGGGGATACGCATCATTATGGGCGACAGAAGAATGGGATAGGACGAGTGCCATCCTAGGAACAAAGCTGTTCAGTTTTGATCAGGGACCGATGGGACACTCTAGGAAAAAGCCGACAACGATAGCGACTGACGCAGAATTGATAGGATGGGCGGTCAATCTTAGAGGACCAGGGACTGGAGCGGCGAATGATAGCAGTGATAGAAGCAAGGGCGAGATGAGCGAATCGCAGAACTGGGCGGAGTGGGCACCGGGATTACTGCGAGCCATTAAGGAGACTATGCGTAAGCACCACCGAATATCATCAGTGGCCGAAAAGGGGATAGACGAGAGGAATAGGGAGACAACGATAGAACAAGATGATAGTGATGGTCGACTGAGAACGACGTTCTACTGCGCCGCGTGTAAGGCTGATTCATCCGGGGTATGCGGGTTTTGTGAAAGAGCTTTAAGTCCTGAGCAGATTGAGGCGGGACAAAGCGCACGCAATATGACGGATGTGGAGTTTCAGCTCGTCCGCGGAATGAAGAAGAATCCGGATGACGACCTAAGGATCGCGGAGCAAGTCGTCGCTGTACCCGGCGAAGAAGAAAGCACCGAAAACGAAGGCGAATTGGATGTTGATATAGATTTGCCCGGAATAGCCGACGAAGAACAGGCCAGAAGAGGAGTGGGAGAGCCTCAGAAGGATGATAGCGCCGGTGGCATGGGAGAAGTGGAACAAACAGAGGCAGAAGTCGGACCTGCAGATCAAGTTCGAGTTGCGGATAGACTTGGCGAAGGGATAGGGTCGAGCAAAGCTGTGAGCATCCGGAGAGCAAGATACTCACCGGAGTATGCAAAATCGGCGGAACATTTGCTCACGCATCTCCCAAAGAACATGCACTGCGTTGCCTGTCGACAAGGCAAAGCAATAAACGTTCCCTTCAACAGGGGCGAAGGCATCACCGACAAGGGTGCCGAGAAGTTCGGAGAGAGGGTCACTGCTGACACGATAGTGCTTCGCAGCAACAAAGACAAGGGAATACGCGGAGAAAACAACGCAATCGTGATGTTCGACTTCAAGACACAGTGGATACACTGCACGCCCGTGAAGTCCAGAGGAACGGATGAGTTTGTGCGAGCTATCAACGAGTTCCGAGGCCCAGATATGGTGGTGCATCTGTACGCAGACGGAGCCGGTGAATTCTCAAAAGCCTGCGATGTCATAGGAACTTGCAGGGCGACTTCTACACCCGGATTACCCCGAACGAATAGCATAGCGGAGCTCAAGGTCAAAGAAGTAATCTACGGTGGCAGAGTATTACTGAGACAAGCAGGACTAGAACCGAAGTGGTGGCCATACGCTGTGCAGACGTTCTGCTTCCATAGGAACGTACAACAGGTGGACGGGGTAAGCCCGTACGGGAAAAGACATGGCAACGAGCAAGACAAAGTGAAACTGATTCCTTTCGGGGCACTTGTTAACTACCTCCCCATTGCCGAAAAGCCTAGAAAAGCTGGCAAAGAGGACGCGGCCCTGCTCGAACGGGGGGATTCTGAAAATGACGCTCTTGAGATTCTCGGAGCCGATGAAGATGTTTCGAGCATGGCCTTGCCCTCTGAAACGAAGGAAACTAAAGAACAACGCTCGCAAAGGGAGGAAGAGCTGAGAGAGATCGATAGACGTGCGCTCGACATGGTCATGACGCAGGACTTTGATGTGCAGCATGCAAAGGACATCATCCTGAAGTTCACTTCGATAGAAAAAGGAATAGCGAAGAATTCGCGGAGCATGGCCACCGGTAGAGGGTTCATAGTCCTGGGGCTGTATGCGTACGGAGGAAAGATTGGCGTTACGAATAGTGCCAAAGATTATCCGGGGATAGCCATGGTGTGCTGCGAGCTGATAGCAAAATGCTTCCCAGAAGCTACTTTCACGACGGTGATTGTGTCTGTCGGAACCAGGATGGGGCCTCACAAGGACAAGTTCAACGAGAGTCAGACATACAACTTTGTTGTGCCGGTAAGCGAGAGGGCGGGCGAAGCTATGATCTGGACGGAGGAGGAACAGTGTGCGAATGAGAGTGGCGACGCCGCCGGGATAAAGAAAGAGGTGCTTCCGGGAAAATGGGTATGGGGAAGGACTCGGAAGGTTGATAGTGGGCTAAAGTTCAATCCAAGAGTTTGGCATGCTACCGAAGATGCCTTGGCGCCGGAGGATAGAGTGATAGCGGTGGGATATACCCTGGCAGCGGGTAAAAAGGCATCTGTGGACGACAAGTGGAAGTTGATGAGGCTGGGCTTCAGATTGGATGAGCACTTTGCGACATTAGCGGATGGCTTATGCCAGGCAGCGTGTGCAGACAACGGTGGGGATGGGGAAGAATATGTAGATCACGACGCCGAGGAAGAGCAAGCGTATGCCATGGCATCCAAGGCAAAGTTCGACACTCCGACATCACCCGGATTGTTCCTAGGTTACGCGCTCCAACCAGGGGGTGTTCCGAGCGGAGACTATATAGTGGTTGAGCTGGCGCA